GTAGCAAGATGAGGAAAGAAAGGAATGTGAGGTAGAAGGAATGATTTAAGGAGCAGGTTCCCAGAGGAGATAGGAGAGGATGGGTCAAGGGCACAAATAAAGGTAGGGTGATTTCTGTAGCAAAGAAAAGGGTGACTTCTTCCTCAGAGCCTAGAGAAAAGAGAGACTGGGATATGATGGAGGGCACATTGGAGTAGAGAGCAGGGGAGATGAAGGAAAGAGTCGTAGATGGCTGTATTTTCTCAGTAAAGAAGGGGGTGGTATCCCCTGCTGAGAATGAGTGTACATAAGGGAGTAATGTAGCAAGCTTGAGAAGAAAGAAGTTTTGGAATAACAGCTGTGAGGGGTGTGATAGTGTCTGTTAGGTAACAATACAAGGATTGACGAGCAAGAGTGAGGGCGAAGAGAAGATCAGATAACATGAATTTGTAGTGGACAGATGCAGGCGATATGCCAAGACAATGCTGGGCACATTGTAAGGGCTTAACAAATGTATGCTGATTGATTGATTGGACCTTGCTTGTATGACTGTATGATTTCTTCTAGGAACATTCAATAGCTTAGAAATGCTAGAATGAAGAAGGTAGATGGTGGGGGAAACTCAAGGCTGAGATTTGGCAAGACCAGAGTGCGGGTAGAAAAAAAGGTACAAGAGGTTCAAGGGGGCAGACTTAAGGGATGGAGTGGTGCCCAGGGCATTTAAAGGACTCTTGTGTGGAAATAGGTCTGGACTCAGACACGATCAGCTTGGTCCCAGAGGTCAGAAGGTACAAAGGCGGAAAATTAGGCTCATTTATTAGGAAAAAAATTCATAACTATTAGGGTTGTTGAAAAATATAAGGAGTTGTCTGGAGAGGAGGTGTTTTCCCTTCATTAGAAATCTTTAAACAAAGTATATTTTTGAGGTTGGATTAGAGAGCTTCTGAGATTTTGTAATTTTGAGGGCTTGGTACCTGTGATGATGGGAAACAGCAAAAATCACTTTCCCAGTCAGGAAAATTTTATGTGTTATCCTTATGCCTAGATGAGGTATGAATTCATGTTAAGGAATACATACTCTGTTGATATCTTGAAAAAAACTTTTATAATTTATGTAATATACACATGTATATGTGTGTCCATATATATGTATGTATATATACATACACACATGGGAAAAAGAATACTAACTCTTAAGTGAAAGGACTTGGGTTCAAATCCTACCTATGGGTGTAATATTGAGCAAGTCACTTTACTGGGCTTCTGTTTCATCATCTGTTTAATGAGACCAGAGGTCTCTTCTAGCTCAAAAGCTATGATCCTAAGATTCTATTTTTAATTGTACCACCAATTCAACAATCATTTAATGGTTTTTCTGTTTCATTTTCATCATGTGCGATGTTAGAGTACAATCAGATTATAGGATGACAACTGTCAAATTTGTTCAATTGAAATACTTTCTCAAACAAAATTACCAGTAATTTTTTTTCAAAACATGACTAAAACAAACAACTTTGTTCCATTAGCAAACAACTAAGGGAGAGAACATAGTACTTGTAACATTTTCCTTCATTTAAAACTTAAGTTAATTTAAAAAATAGTATTAGATCTAATAGTTTGCTTGTAACTTTCAATTTTTCAAACATATTGGATATGCTCATTTGTGGACAAATAATTAGCTAATAACTCTTTGTGGATGTATTTATCACATAAAATTAGTTTTACTGCCTAAAAATACATAATCGTGCCAAGCATATTTTAATTCATAGGCTCTAATACTTATGATCCTTAAAAGTTAATCAAGGCTTTATAATACTTTGATCTTTTAATTTAATAATAAATATACATATATACAGTGTTTTGGACCATTGAATTCCCAATCAGGATATTTTCAGAGGTATCAACTTACTAGTTAGTTACTAATGGAAGATATCTCTAAAAGGTCAGTTACATTGGTTATTATATATTTTTTCAGACAAATAATTTTCTCTTTACTAGTTTACAAGAATCCATTAGTGAATGTTTGGTGGATTAAACTGCAGTCCACACAAAAAGTGACCAGCAGGGAGAGGAAAATGAAATCATTTCAAGAATGAATTCCATTTACGTTTCCATTAGACCATGAATGAGGTTCAGCAATAATTTCCTAATGACACAGGTAACTTAGAATTTGAATTGTTCAAGGAAATTTTCCTTTCAGAAACCAGCAAGAAAAACTTTCTTTAGGGCATGCAGAAGTTAACCACCATGGACTGCAAAATGTATACAGTCAAATTTCTGAGGAATTTATCTTATACCTCTGGAGTTGGCCATAAAATCTGCCATCCTCACAGTGACCAACATAAACCTTCCAAAGTCCTATCCTAATTTCATCCCTTCTAATGTCATCCCTTCATTGTTATTAGACTTGTCCTATGAGCTTCTGCCATTCATCTAATTCAACTGGACAAACATTTAAGCCAATGATAGTAATATGCAAGGCATTATTTTGGGTAGTAGGGAAAATGACAATAGCTACCATCAAGGAGATTATGGGCTACTAGGCATTTATAGCATGGACACAAGTGGAATACATCATGAGAAGGGGCAAAAGGGAGATGTAGAGCCAAGGTTCCCATAGAAAAGTATCTTGGATGGTCTTTTTGTTCATTCATTCATTCTTTCTTCCTTTCTTTCTTTCTTTCTTTCTTTCTTTCAACAAACATTTATTGAACATCAATAATGGGCAAAGCTTTGTGTTAGGCATTTTAAAGGGTACAAAGAAGAACAAATTCAGTTCCTGCCCTCCAAGAGCTTACATTCTAATAAGGGAAATGATACAGGTACCCATATAACTACAATACAAGGCAAAATACAAACTGTACTATAAAAGAGGTACAAATAAAATACCATGAAGGCTTAGGGGGGAAAAAAGAGAGATGGCATGTGGTTGGAGAGATCTGGAAAGGTTTCATGGAGAAGATGGAATATGAAATGGGCTTTATAATGGCTAGGAAATAAAGAGGCTACAATGAGGGACTGAAGACTTTTAGCTCTAGTCATGAATGTTGAATTATTAAAGTGAACAGGGATAGAATGTAGTGGGCTGGTATTGTGAACCTTTTTGGGGTGGGGGAACAAAAATCTATCCAGTTACTGGAGCAGCTTTACAAGATCTTAGGATAGTACTTTTAATTCATTCTCTATTCCCTCTTCTTTTCCCTTTCAAGTTGGTTCTAGGTGGGGTCAGATCAGAAATGAATATAAATGGAGGTAAGGGATTTGATTAGCATAGGTGTGGTGAGGTTATTAGGGGAGTGCGATATTATCATATGATCATAGATTTAGAACTGGAAAGGACTTCAGAGACCATTCAGTTTTACAGATGAGGAAACTGAGGAACATAGAGGTTAAGGAACTTGCCCAAGGCCACGTGGGCAGTAAATGGAGGAGCTGGGATTCATACTCAGGTCTTCCTTGGTGGTAAAATTCACGGCACCATGCTGCTTGCCTCCTTTCCTCCACTTCACACACTGCAGGCTGCCAGATACTAAATAGTCTCACTTCCCTTTAAGCAAAGTAGATTTGTCTCATAGAGAGAAGGAAATAAAAACCCACTGAGTTTAGCAGTATGTTGCCCAAAGAAGCCAAACTTTAACATCTATTTTAGAAGTTAATTATTTAAGAAATTTTAAACTTCAAATAAGTCTTTTCTAAAAAAGAGATTTGGAAATAAGAAATGACAGCGGATTGTCTTCATTTGCCTATATCCTGTAAGGCCTTCAGTGGATATTCCAGGAGCATTCTCAATTACAATCTTATCAATAAAAAGGATAACGTCAACTATAATCCCATTCATTTTTAGTAATTATAAGGGATATTCACTTGAGTTTTATGTCTTTCTAATAAATAAAAACTTCTAGCATGATCAACTTTACTTGTCCCCAAATATAATGATTAAATTTCCTTTTAAAATAAACTTCTTATAACATGAGATAATCTTTCCCCCAGTAGCAGGTGTCTCTCTTCACCAATTCCACAAATTGTTAGGATTTCATATAAATCATCTGGTGAAGTTTCCCATAAATATACCATGAATATGTTATATTCAATCACATTTTTTTCTTCAAAGTAATATCCTTTTAAACATTTATACCTTTGACCAAAATAATACAATTATGAGTATTGATTTGTGAGATGGGAGAGGCATTTGGAGGAAATGGGAGAGGCATAAAAGGATACTGTTTCTTTAACACCATCTAGGAGTGTCTAATTCAGTGATGTGTTTTTCAAAAGCAAAAAAAAAATTCAATGTATCAGATATGATCTCAACAATAAACTGAAAGAAATCATTTGTCTCAATAGCAAAGGCTATATTATGGTTTAATTGTTTAAGGGGAAAAATTAGGATGATTTGAGAGGAGATGGGAGAGGCTTTTGGAGGAAATGGGAGAGGCATAAAAGGGTACTGTTTCTTTAACACCATCTAGGAACCATTTTCAAACGATCTGATTCATTTTTAAAAATACATTAAACACATTTTAAAACAAAGTAATAGCAACTTAATAAATGAGTAATCGATAAGTATTAACATAACATTCTATGCAATTTAGACAATAAAACATCTCTTACCTTAATGTGGAGAGTAAATTAATTTGAGGTAGAAATCTCTTATGTTAATGACAAATTTGTTAGTAACCATATACTTAGAGAATTGTTTATTATGATTGTTTCTTTATGTAGTAAGGAATATAAAGTTTCCTGGAGATTGGGATGGAGTGGTTATTAGATTTGTTAAATAGGAAAAGAGTACATATAAACTGAAAAGAAAAAAGATTCACGAATTATCTAAGTTAAAATGATCTTAGCAGAATTGTGAATAGAACAAGTATATCCCTATGGGGAGTACTTCCCCCCAAAGAGATCAAAAAGAATAGCTAACGTTAAGGTTTATATATAGTTCTGTCAATGTATTATTTAGAGGGCATGCCTTTCAAGACATAGGATTGCCAAGATTATTTCAAGAAATATGTTCTTCTAACCTTTGAGTTGGCACCTTATCCTGGCTATTCTCTGCCTTAAGACGTAGAAAGCTGCAAAACAAATGTCCAAAAAAAGAAAATTCCAGATATTTTTGTATGTTTGTTTTCTGTAAGGAGACTGGACTTGGGCTTTTATCAATTTGCTACATTCCCGAAGACTTAACACACTTTCAATATTCAGTGCTTCTCTGAAACAACAATAAAAACTAGGACATATTTTAAAATAGCATTATCTTAGTCATTGTTTTGTCACAAAAGTCATACATTTCTAACCAAAATAAAAATTATCCAATGATTGAAGCTCTACGATTCTTCCGTGCATTCTGGTTTATTTTTCTGGAGCTTCCAATCTAAATTTTTGGTTTTCAGAATATTACTTTGTGCTCTTAGAGAGACAGTACCCTTTTATTAAAGTGAATGTTAGGCCAGGAGATATTAAATTTAAATGTTAGATTTTTTTAAAAATTTAGTCATCGAGATAACTGAAGATACATACAATTTTAAGATATTATTATTGTGATCAGTGAATGATAACGATTGGAAATTTTCTTTCAACAATTATTTCCTTGGATAGCTGCTCAGTCAGTCAAAACAAAAGCGCCTTTTCCGAAGCCTCAGTTAAAAAAACTTTAAACTCAGTTTAAAAAAAATAGAGACTAGAATGCTCCCTTTGCTGAAAATTAAAGGGAGAATTCTCAAAGAGGTGTCAACAATGGTCAATAACTCTGACCACGTCTTTCCCAGAAGAGAAAGAAAGAAAAAATATTTGTGGTTTCAGTCCACATCAGATCTCACACCTTTAGGCAAGAAAAATCTCGGTTTTTATTTTAAAAAGAGACAAATTATGGAAGTAAATTGTAACAATTTAATGGCAGTTTTTTCTTTTTTGGCTTGAAATGGGGTTAAGTGACTTGCCCAGGGTCACACAGCCAGTCAGTGTCAAGTGTCTGAGACTGGATTTGAACTCAGGTTGTCAGGTCCTCCTGACTCCAGGGCTGGTGCTCTATTTTTTTCTTAAAAAGAAGAAAATTAAGTACCCTATGTGATTGAGAAAATAATCTTTTTTTTTCCTTTAGTTGAATTACAAAAATATATAAACAGTCCAGAGTCATTGAAACATTTTTTAAAGCAAATCTATATGCTTTCTAAGTCTGAGAATGAAATCCAGACTTCTGTTTTCTTTTGCTATTTTTTTAAATGGAAAGACTGCCATAGCTTCAGGCTATCTAATTCAGTGATATGTTTTTCAAAAGCAAAAAAAAAATTCAATGTATCAGATATGATTTCAACAATAAACTGAAAGAAATAATTTGTCTCAATAGAAAAGGCTGTATTATGGTTTAATTATTTAAGGGGAAAAATTAGGATGATTTGAGAGAGATGGGAGAGGCATTTGGAGGAAATGGGAGAGGCATAAAAGGGTACTGTTTCTTTAACACCATCTAGGAACCGTTTTCAAACGATCTGATTCATTTTTAAAAATATATTAAACACATTTTAAAACAAAGTAATAGCAACTTAATAAAGAATAGCAAACATCAACATTTTTCTAGCTAGTAGCAGCCAAGCAGTTCTGTATAGTTTATTTTTAGTTTAGAAATTTTAGAGATGTATCACTTGCGTTCTATTTAACATGTAATTCAGCCATGACAGGTACAAATTTAGTGAATTTTACAGTGTCAATAGGTTTTCTGAACACCTCCAGCACTGAATTTCAGTGAACATTCTGTTACAATTGCAATTAGTATGGTTTAAAAAAAACTATACAGAATAACAATTGAAGTTAAAACAGTGCTATACCAAGGGGGGGGGGGGCTTTCTAGGACCATTTTGAGGTCTATTCTCCACTGATGCATGAAGGCATTTTCACAGGCAACTACTGCCGATTTTCATGAACTTTAGCTACCAAAGTCAGTCCCCTTGTGGCCTGCATGCATCTTGTGGTATATAAACCCCTTTGTAGGCAGCTGAAAACCATCTATTAGTAGCACACCAATGAGGAGAAAATGGCTCACTTTCTCCCATTCACTGGCCATAACCCAGGATAAGAGAGAGAAACAAAGAGCGAGTGTTCGTCTAGAGCTAAGGTGAGAAGGCAGCTGTAGCAAGCTCATGCATCACAACCAGCCCCGGTCTCTGGTTACCTTCCCGACTGAAGCACCCCCTTCTTGGGTTTGTATAAGCAGCAGTGTTTTGGGTTGGCGAAGGGTTCTCTGTGATAGCATGCATTTTACTAGGCAGGGCTAAAAATAAACCAGCCAGTTTGGGTTTTTTTCCCCCACATTTTGTGGAGTGGTGGTTCATAGAAATTACAGAGGCTGGGTTGTGCAGGGATTATTTTTCTTGCCTTTTATAACTAGCAGGACATGGGTTATGTGCTTGGAGCCAATGCAGAGCAGCCGATGTTAAATAACAGTAACTTTCTGACTCGCCGTCCCCCATGCTGTCTAAATGTATATCTATCTGTCTTCGGAGCTGTGTTTTAAGTAGTTGTCGGAAGCCTAAAAATAGACCAGCTATCCAACATTGGGGGAACTGAAGAAATCTTTCTCTTAAAAAGCTCTGATTAGGTCTTTTTTTTTTTTTAAGTTGAAGACTAAGATTTATTTCTCTTGCACAGCAATAATCCCTGGGTGCAGTTTTTCAGTGATGCGCCTCACTGCATGCTCTATACGTGCATAGTGCCTTCATTCCAACTTTCTCCACAAAGAAGAAAGTGACTCTTTACCTCCTCAAATAGGACCCCCCCACACACACTCTGAAAAGGAAGTATTGCCACCCTTTTCAGAAAATCTTAGTTTTTCTTTTTTTCAAAACCCTCTAAAAAAAAAAAGGCTCCAGGCCAAACTCATTAATTTTATGCTGGTCCACTGAACACTGAGCACTGGATTTGATGTCCAAGGACCTGATTTCTAATATTATCCCTGCTACTTACTATCTGTGTGATCTTAGGCATGTAGTTTCAGTCCTCTAGACCCAGCCTCATAGAAGCGAGTTGGTGCAGTAGAAAAAGCACTGGACTTATTAGAGTTAGAAAGACCCGGGGTTCAAATCTTGCATCAGACACTTACTAGCTATGTAACCCCGGGGAAGTCACTTAACTTCTCTGGGCTTCAGTTTCCTCATCTATAAAATGGGGATAATAACAGCACCTACTTCACAGGGTTATTTTGTGAAGATCAAAATTCCATAAAAGTGCTTTGCAAACTTTCCCCTTTAGACTGTGTGAATTGTTGCTTTTTTTTTTTTTTTTTGGTATCCCCAGTGTTGAGCAAAGTTCCTGGCATATAATAAATATGTTTGTTGACTCTACTGTAAAATGAGTGCTGGACGAGAAGACCTCCAAAGACCTTTCCAACTCTAAATCTATGATTCCTTGATTCACTGACCTGCCAATTCCAAAGGCACGGGCCTGGGTCACTTTTAAAATAAAAAATTTTCAAATGACCCTTACCCAGTCCTACCTCCAACAACAAAATCCTGCCTGAAACTTCCATTATTCACTGCATAAGACAATAGGGGAGTAAAATCTAAAGCAAATGAGTGAATTTTTACTAAATTAGCTTCATGCTTTTCTTCCTGGGGTAATGATTTGAGAAATACCTTTTACCTGGTTGAGTCAATGGAAGTTTATTTGAATGTTGCCTGGGGACTTAGCTTCAGCCAAGACTAAGATTCTCAAAAGGCTTTTATGAAATAAAGTTGAGCGTGGGGAGTAAAAGGGCAAGCAAACTCATGAATTTACTAATTATTCCTTCACTTGGTGGACACCGACAAGTTTTAGTGTTATATTGTATTGTATTGTATTGTATCTGCCAATACATTTTAAAAGCCAAGCTAATTTTTTAAAATTCATACCTTTACCATGGCATCTAAATCTGTGGCATCACAGTGGCTCTGTTCTTTCTAATTCTATTAAATTTTACAACAAAGAGAAGACTTTGGGTATGGTTCTAGTAATAGACTGGCTACTTGAATGAGACAAGTACAGGGAGATCCCTCACCACTAGGTTGGCTACATGGTGATGAATTCTTTGACTGTGGTAACCTGTGAACCAAAGAAAAATACAAAAATGATTCTCAGTCCTGAACAATCCTTTCTTCTGCAGGGACAGTGGCAGAAAGGGAAGGCAGAGAGTGCTAAGAACCTCGCCATCTATCAATATTAACTTTGTTTAACAGCTGCATCTTACAGAAGGGCCTAGATCAAATTTATCAGGCTATTTGTCACTACAAATGAAACCAAAAGACACAGCTCAATGGAAAGATGCCTCATATTCTCTTTGGAAAGGAAAATAAAGGAATTGGCAGTTTGGTTTCATTATGAGTCCAAAGACAACAAGAAACATTGCATTGTAGTATACTTCATTATCTCTTATTGTAGGGCTCAGAATAGGCATTTGCAAAAGACCACCATGAAGGCAACTGAAGCCTATGAGCAAATATTTGTTGCAGAGAATGAAGATGTAGGAAAAGTTTATGATGACCTCGATGAAACTCTTCAAAAGAAAGCAACATATATTTCAATGCTCTGTGATTTGAATGAGAAGTTGGACATAGGAGAACGCAAAAAAAAAATGCATTGGAAGATATGACCCAGTATTAAGAAATGAAAGAGGCCAAAGTTTACAAGGAAGGCTAATAACTATATATCACCAATACTTTCTTCAAGATGTGAGAAGGCAAGAATCAAACAAAAATGTGGTCAGTTTCATTTTTATGATGTTATTCATTACATAAAAAAAGAAAGAAATGGATTAAATATTGACAAAAGAGAGGGAAAATAGTCTGTGGGGAATCCAACTGGTGGCTTGTTAGAACCAAGATAAAAATGAATATCAAATTAGGAGAAAAAAGGATAACAATAAAGAGAAAATACGATATTCAACTAAAGCAACTATGACCTGAATCATTTAAATCAGCAGAGGGAAGGGAATAAGTATTTATTAAGTGCTTATTATGTGCCAGGCACTGTGAAAACTTTGTGCTTTACAAATAGTATATCTCATTTGATCTTCATAAAAACCCCGAGAGGTAGGTGCTATTATTAT